GTCACTGTAATATATTTGCAGTTAATATTAAGTGCAATGGGAAGCTTTTAAAAAATTTTGTGTGGAGAGCTCACAGCCTCATTTGAATTTTATAAAGAATAACCAAGCTTCTGTGTGGTCAATGACTATAAAACCAGTGGAGGGCTGCTCAGTAGCTCTGTGAGAGACATGGGGCTAAACTAGGGAGAACTAGTCAAAAGGCGGGGGTGGGGGCAATTGTATATATTTTTATATATATCGTATATACATATATTTTTGGCATTGTAGGCGTTTGAACTCAAGGGGCAGGTCCTCTACCCCTTGAGCCACACCTCCAGCCCTGGAGATAGGACTCACTTTCTGCACAAGGTAGCCTGGGCTGTGATTCTATTTTATGCTTTCCACTATAGCTTGGATGACAGGCATGTGCCACCACACCCAAATCTTTTCTGTTGAGATGGAGTCTCACGAATTTTTTGGCCCAGGCCAAAAAAAAGTTCTAGGCTGACCTAGAACCATGATGCTCCCTATCTCAGCCTCCCAAGTAGCTGGATTACAAGTGTGAGTCAAGGTTTTAGGGAATCCAGTCATTATTTTACTTAGACCAAAGCTTTTAGGTAATCCTCTAAGTGGGTGTCTCCTGTAGTCAACAGGTGTAAGACAGGTTCAAAGTGAGAGAACGGAATACTCAATGTGTGTGTGTGTAAACTCCACAGTACATTCTTCCATGAGTGACAATCTCAGAGTCTTTTTTATTCCTTTATTTTTTTTATTAAGACATATTCATTGTACAGGAGGGATCCACTGTGACAATTCCAAATAGCCTTATATTGTACATTGATTAGATCGTTCCAACCATCTCTCCCCCTTGACTCCCTCCCTGCTTCACTTCATTCAGTTGCAAGAGGTTTCATTGTTCTGTTTTGTATAGTTATATGAAGTCAACCATATTCCCTCACCTTAAGTTCACTCTCCCCCCTCCCACAGGTACTCCCCCTCATACTGTACCTATTTACAGTCTTGTCTTTCATCATTAGCTCCTAAGTCGATGTTTAAAGGGGTTTCTCGGTGTGAGTATACCCTCTGTGAGTATACTTTACTCTGGTTCTTTCAACCCCTTCCATTACTCTTCCTATCCCCCATTTTCAACAGCTTTCAACATGTATTGCTATATCCTCTACCTTCAAAGATATTGTTTTATATTGTTGACATTCTGTCATTCCCTTTTCTTTTCCCTCCTTCCCCAAGTTCCATAGAGTAGTTCCACTGTTACAAACATTTCTACATATGAGCTTGTATATGATCATGTTTGTTTTTATGTATGTGTTTATCTTTTGCATCTATCTTCTACATGAGAGAAAACGTGGCCTTTATCTGTCTGTACCTGGCTTACTTCACTTAACACAACATCCTCCAGTTGCATCCTTTTACCTTCAAACCACATGGTGTCATGCTTCAGTCTAGGGGTCTTGATTGTTTTATGATTTAATCGCTCATTCCCTGGAGGCCATAAACACAAATTTCTGTTTACATTAAAATTAAATTCCTTCTAACAACACTGTGGTAGATTGTAGGTGAAGTGACTTTATATGTCCCCAGGGCAAGACCACAAAAACGTTATAATCATCTCTCTCAGGTAAAAGCAAATTGTAATTGATTTTCAGGGATGGCAATACTAAGGAATTTTTTTTTTTGGCGGTACTAGGGCTTGAACTCAGGGCCTCATGCTTGCTAGGAAGTCACTCTACCACTTGAGCCATCCACCAGCACTAATACTAAGGAATTGGATAGGTCAATTTTTGTGCAATGTTTGAGGGATTGGCAAAACCAAATCTGTCAGCTAGTGAATTAATGACTATGGCAACAAAGTAAACTTTCCTAATTTATGGGACTGCCAGGAGCCATTTTTTAAGTGACCACCAGGGGGTGCTGAAGACCACATACTTGTGCTAATCTACTCCAAATTTCTTCTTTCTGGTGCTGGGCATAATTTCTTCTTTAATAACCTCATTCCTGGTACCCAGGCTTCATTCAACAATCGATCTACCGAGGGGTTGTGAGTGATTCTCTTTCAGTGTGTCCAACCATGCATGGGCTATTCTGATGCTGCCAGTTTAATCTGAATATTGTGCTAAGGTTTCTCAAGTTTTAACAAGTTTGATGCTCTCAGAGTAGATGTTTGTGATCAGGGAGTGGGTGGTGGGTCTTTTTTCTCACTTCAAGGGATTGTACATCCCTCCACATCCTTCTGTGCTGTCTTCCCCACAGAACTGTTATGGCTGACATGGATTAAAGTGCTTCCTGACTCTGTCTGTACTCCCCTGTATTCCTTCTTCCGCAGGTGTAGCTGGGTGTCAAAGCCAGTCTCTCTGGATCATTCCATAGGCCTGGAAATCCTCCCAAACCTTCTAGGTTACAACAGAGAGCAGCTACTGAAGCCCTGCAAGGGCCTAAGATCTCTTAGTTTCCCTGCAGAGGACTTTGGCTTTCAACCTTAGATCTCCCTTTGTGCAGAGACTCAGCATTGTGCTGCCAACTGGTAGGGAGGAGCGCTACAGGCCGTGACAGAGCTACCTCTCCAGGTAGGCTCAAACTCACACTGATGGCCAACAGGTAGGAAGCAGACCTATGCGCGTATCCTCACAGGCCAGTGTTGAGTTTAAACTGCCAATGAATCCTGCGTAGGTTGGAATCCTCAGGCTGCAGGCCATCTATCACAATGCCTGGGCTTTGGAACATCCCAGGACAACTTGGCATTTCTTCCTCTTGCTGACACCAGCTCTGCTCTGAAATGTTTTCTGAGAGAGAGAGGAAATAAAGCCATTCCTCTAATTTGTTATCCCCCATCCCATGCTTCTTTCATTATCCAGAGGAGAGGGGACTAAAGTGACCGATTGGCCACATGAGAGGGGCTGTCTATGCCCTGCTAACTCTATCTGATTCACTGGGCCCCTTGATCTCACACAAGCATGATGTCATCTGGCTACTGTCAAGTGGATCACAGTTCACTGCGAATGAGGACTCGCTTAGTTTTAGTCACATCAGGACCCTGCCTCCCATGGACCTCTGGTTTGGAGCTGGGAATCCTGAAGTCCAGTGAGACAGGTGTACCATGGCAATTCAATGAGCTTGACTTCTCCTGATCTGTAGCCACCCATTCCCTTTAGCTAAAAAGTCCAGCTGCCATTCTGTATTTCTCAAGTTACTTTGGTTGACTGCCTTCACGACTGGGATCAGAACTGTTCCAGAGGATGGGCACCTCCCCCCCCCCCAGGAAGGTTCAGAGGTCAGCTCCTGTTACTGGTGTCCCCGAGCAGGCAGGGCAAGGCTGCTTCCACAGGCTTCCCCCTTCTCAGGAGGGCCAAGGCTGAAAGGCAGAGGGACCTGCTTTTACTCCAGGCTGTATCTCAACCAGAGCTCTCAATTTCCTAAAGCTCCGTCACACCCAGAGGCCTGGGGGATTTACTTGTCCTGTTCAGCATTTCCATTTTGTTTCCTGAAGCATGTGCCACCACGAGAAGGTGCAGATCAAAATCTTCTCACATAGGGAGAGACAAGGACCCACTAGCTACTGTCACTTCTCATGCATCTGTAAGATACAGCCTACCTGCCATCCACATGATGCCTCTGAGGTAGACAAGTTAGCTGTTCCTGGCTGAGGCTCCTGGTCAGTCTTTTCACCTGAGGGTCTTTCCTTTACTGGCTTCAGTAAAATTGCAAATACACACTCTATTTTCATTGCTTGTTCAGACAAGGGAGGACAACATGATCTGTTCTTGCTTAGAAATGGGACTGCCCTATAGGTGGTAAGGTCCACTCAGGTTTCAGGGGTTCACAGGCTAAAGACTAGGAATCAGTTTCTTCCTGTTTATGAGACCTCCCCATCTTTAATCTATTTACACAGTATGTGAATGTGCTTTTGCTTCCCATAGCATCCCTCAACCTGACGTAGAATCATTACACAACGCTAGAGGCAGAAAAGTGGGTGCCCACCTTATCTTCCCAGTTGAATTACATTGTTTTCCAAAGGTGAGCTTCCTAAATTTCTCACTCTATTCTAGAGTACTCACCTTTTTTTTTTTTTGTGGTACTGGGGTTTGAACTCAGGGCCTCATGCTTGCTAAGGCAGGCGCTCTACCTTTTGAGTCACTCTGCCAGCCCTTTTTTTGTGTTGAGTAGGGTCTCACAAACTATTTGCTTGGGCTGGCTTTGAACTGTGATCCTAGTACTCTCTTCTTGATAGTCCCAGTCTTTCTGGGAGAGAAAATAACAAAATTTATTACTTAGTGTTTGTGAAAGGCAAACTATGGGGCTGGTCTTGCCTTTCCAAAAACTGTATTAGCAAGAGGGGTAAGGGCTTGTTGGGTTCAGAATGTACTGATGGAAATTCTTCATGGCATCACCGTCCTACAGTGTTAAGAAGCTCACACTTGTAGATGCTCTTCTTTGCCTTGGCTGAATGGTTTTAATGGTATAACTTTACACTAAGCAAGTAACTACTGCTTAACAGAAAGCAGAACTCTGAGACCAAGAGAATGAGCTGCAGAGACCCCATCCCTAAAACTGCCACCCCCATGCCTGGTGCATTGTCATCATGGCTCCTGCTTTTCTTGGTGAACACATACCATGGAGCAGTGAAAGAAAATGGCTTTTCAGGCTGAAGCCCTAGGCTGACATTCCAACTGTCACTTTCTAGTACTCTCAGGCAGCGCCTGTGACTGAACACATTCCAGGTCATGAGCCTACTGTGTACCTGGCACTTAAGAGAGCCCAGTAACACTTGATAAAAACACATGAAAGAACTTGATACTCATACACTACATTCTGATAAACTCCATGACAACCTTTAGTTGGTTTGCAGGGAGCAGTGGCTCTGGCTGAGTTTATACTCCTGCTTATATATATTTTTTTAATCAGTGAATGAAAAACATAAGTTACATGTAACAAAAGTTCTCTCTCCCTGGATATAACAGCAGCTGAAGCTAATTTGAAAGAATATTTGCAGAATGAACTCCAATTATGAAAGACAAAACCTGTTTCTCTTACTTGCTTAGGTTTGGGAGCATAACTGCTCAGAAAGGATTCATAGATCTTTTATTGTTAAGCTGCAACATACATGGTTTAATACAACAAAAAGCATTTAATCAAGTGAAAAGTAATAAACTGAACAATAAACAAATAAACACTCAAACTATTTTCCATTGGAAACGTTAAGATGAATACGGGGCTTCGTTACCATCTCACTGCAATTTTCTTATGTGTTACTAGCCTATATACCCCATGTTTTCTGTAATCATGCAGATGTGAATGGACGTTTGAATGATTAAATAAATGAAAAGTCCGTTTACTGCAGAGAACCATTTCACAAGGCAGCCAAACTGGGTTTAGAGAACAAAACCATTCAAGAAATCCTCCAGGTATTTAGGTTCATTTTAGAATCCATGAACCTTAAGCTGCTCCTCCTTGACAATGCCAACCTGTAAAATAAAATTTAATTCAGCAGAATCACTCTGAGGAATAAAAACATTAAGCGCTAAGGAAAACAAAACAAAAAACAAAAAAAAAGAGTACTGCCTAGAGCTATTGCAACACTTCACTGTTAATGACCACATATTTGCATATCTTCCACACACTAAGAAACACTGTTTATCTACAGCAATGATCAGGTCACTCTAACCAAAGTAAACTGGATCCAGGCCTTGCCTTCAAAGCACCAAGTCTACATCTCACTCCATTACCTAATTTACTTCATTCACGTGGTTTTCACTACCTAGGAAATAATTCATGTTGCTCTTAAACGCAATTTTAGAAGTAATCTCAAGGTTACTTACACAAAAATTACCCAAACACTCACCTCCAAGAGGAACTGGCAAATGTTTTTCCTTTGGTCACCTTGAAGCTGAATAACCTCCCCGTATTCAGGATGTTCAATCACAGTACCATTACAGGCAAATTTCTAGAGTACACAAATGTACAACATAATTTACTCAAATACAGTGAGGTTTTATTTCTCTCTAAGAACAAATATAACTATTTTAGTAGGTTTACTTGTATCAAAAGAGATTTCTCCTATAACCCCCAGCCCTCCCAAATTAAGTTAACCTGTAAGTAAATCAGGTCACATTAAGGAAACGATGTGATGAGGAACACAAAGAACTAAATATTTTACATTTTATTTTGTTTGAAAGCCAATCTCACTTTCAGAGGGGAGGCCATTGTGGGAGAATAACCAAATTTCTGAGTATTAATTGCAAAAACGAAAACAGCTTTTTTTGGGCCCCACAATTTTCACCTACAACTTCCAGTCAGGTAAAGATGTGAACCACGGTCTCAGGCAGAGGTGGGTCAGTGACCCTGTCTGCATTCTTCCTTCCTGTCACTTGTACCTTTTTGAAAGCTTTCACAAGTTTCTTTTTGTCATAATCATCCGCAATGCCCTGGACAGTAGTCAGCGTCTTCCTGCCGTTCCGTTGCTGGATTCTTATATGGATGTAATCCTCAGTCCCTGCCGGGAGTAAGTCGTCACCCTTGGTTGCATCAGCAAAGGGGTCTGCAAAGGGACAGATTCCAGAGCACAAAAGTCACTTTTAGACAGTACTTTCTAGAAATACGGAGCGCTACGAATCTAGACCATTAGCAAGGAAGGGTCTAAGGCTTCTACCTTATTTTGCAGGTGGAGATGAGGTTGGCGATGCGATTATTACTAAGACCCCCATAGTATGCGCACAAAAACGAGAAAAATCGGAACAGATGTGTGCGCTGATATTTGAATTAAAAAAAAAACCGTTACAAGTAGAAAATAACATCGCCGAACACAGTCCTCTAATGACAGAAAAGGCATTTATAAAAACCTTACTATGGTGGCCCTATAAAAACGTGCGTCATCTCCATTACATCCTGATGACAACAGAAATAGGCAAATACACGCATCCCAGTCCGTTAACCGGAACTGTGCCTTGCAAAAGAAAAGAAAATAGCGTGCAACGTGCAAACCCGCACTGCACGTACATGCACGGCGATCGCCACGCTCGCAGCGGGCGCGGGCCGCGTCCCCCGGCCGACGCTCGGAGGGCGCGGGGCCCAGGTGGTCAAGGGGCCGGCGCCGCCCGCGTCGCCATGTTCCGGGCGCCGGGACAAAAGCGCATCGGGGCGTTGCGGGGCTTACCGAAGGATTGGAGGTTCTGGATAGTGGACATGCGACACTAATGTGAGGCCGGTGACGGGGTAGAATTCCTGCGGGGCCCGCCCGGATCGCCGTGTCAGGAGGCTGCAGTGGCGAGAAAACGAGAAGGAAGAAGGCGAGCTCGGCTGGGGTGGGTCTCAGTGGGCGGGCGCGGCGGCCGGGAGGAGGCGGGGAGGAGGAGGCGGCGGCGGCAACGGCTGAGATACGCGAGCGGAGAGGCGACGCTGCGGTTCTCGCCCAAGATGGCCGGCGAGGGGTTATTTATGGCGCCACCGTCACGTGACTGCGTACGCCCCGCCCCGCCCTAGCGTCAGGGGCGGGGCCTCGGCTCTCTCGAGGCCGCACGGGTGTAGGTGACGCCCCCAGTGGGATGCAAAAGCCTGCGAGTCGTCCAGCTCTCCGTCCCCAGCCGTGGCTCATCACCTGCTGCGTGGACAGTCCCACCCGCGTTGTCCTGGTTCCTACCAAGGTGCCCTGCACCCTCCCGCGTGCATCTGGGCGAAACGCATCAATAGGCCTCAGACTTCTCAGGAAATGTGGCTCTGGGCACCCTCATGGGCCCAGGGGAACTGATGCTGCTGGCCTGGCCCTCTGCTCATCGTCCTCTGGGGCCTGGCACCTAAAGGGTCTATGTATGCCTGAACCGAGCACATCAGAAAGCCAGCTGTCACCTGCCTCCGTCCTACGCCCCAACACAGGGCCTGAGTGGATAAGTGAGCTCCGCATATAAATTAAGTGATAAAGACGAGCCAGAACTGTAACGTCTTCCTATCAAGTCACATACGCAAAAGATTTGGGAAAAGGGCTCGATCCACACAGGTCCTCAACTGTCGAACTTGGTTGGCTTTCTAGACTGAAGAAGTAGGCTAACATTTAGGAATTCTTAATCTTTTTTTTGTGTGCCGGTCTTGAGAAGCCTGTGGACCCCTTTTCAAGAATAATTCTTTAAGTGCATAAAGTAAAACAGTGTTCCAAAGGAAACCAATTATATTGACATTAAAAGCCTTACATTGGTAACATAGTATGTGCCTCGTTTGTTTTTTTGTTGTTGTTGTTATTGTTTGTGGTACTGGAGCTTGAACTCAGGGCCTACACCTTGAGCCATTGCCCTAGCGCTTTTTTTTTTTTTTTTTTGATGGGTTCTTTCGAAAGGGTCTCAGGAACTATTTGCCCAGGCTAGCTTCCAACCGTGATCCTCCTGATCTCTGCTTCCTGAGTTGCTGTGATTACAGGCCTGCACCACAGCACTGGCTTGTGCCTCACTTTTTAAAGTCATATTGTTGTATTGGGGTTACATTGTGACATTTACAAAAGTACTTAAAATGTATATTAGTTAAATTCACCCCCTCCATCATTCTCCTTTATCCCTCCTTCCCCCGTTCTTAGAATAGTTGCAGCAGGTCTCATTTTTCCATTTTCATAAGTATGTGCCTCTTTATTAATGACTTATTGAATAAGGTCAAGCAGCAGGTCTAATAGCTACTATAATTTCAATAGCAGGAAAGCTATTTTGAGATGTCTGTAACACAAGATGTGCAATATGAAAGTACAGGTGACTTCTATTGGCAAAATGATGGGTTCTTCTATCACTACTGTGAGGCTGTCTATATTCACAAGGGAAGGAAAAGCTAAATTGTGCTTAGAGGTTAGGAAAAATGCAGACACAGTCTTTTTTCCCCTGTGCAGTTTTAGTGACACTACCCCTGCAGTATTTTCCATGAACAACAAATTTGTACCTGATTTTAATAATCTTTTGTAATTACCAATGATGATATACCATATTGAGTGCTTAGTTTGCCTGTTGCAAGGCTTATATATAATATTATTAATCTTTATAGCTTTCCTATGAGATAGATAATACTCTGTGTAACAGATGTAGAAATGGAGATTTTTGTAGGTTAGATAATTTGCTTAAAAATAAAATTCTTAACTCTTAGAAACCTGTGTTTTTGGTCTTCTAGCTCTGATTCAAAAGAACAAAACTTCCACTGCCAAACTAAGGTATTAAATTCTAGAGATTATTCCAAAGCTAGAAGAATCAAAATACTTTCAAAGGTGTACCTTAAAGTAATTTTTAATACTTTAATTTTGTACCATAATACTAACATGTTAATTTCTAAGTAGTTTTTTATACTTTACCTGAAGTGTAGAATAAACTGTATCTCTGTTTATTTCCTCTTTCTTACTAGATACACATAAACATTGTGTATTACATTGTTTCTCAGAAGAAGCTAAGGGTGGTCTAGTAAAGAAAAAGTAACAAACGGGAATTTTTAAAAATCAGTAAGTCTTAGGGGTTTTTGTGGTCATTACCCATTAGAACTTGCCCAATTTTAGAACTAATGTTTGCATCAGAAACCTCTAGGAGTGCAGAAACCTTTGATCAAGCCAGTATGAAAGTGAGTTAGCAATTGTGATTGTTAAAGGCTCTTTTGATTTTTGTCATTCTTCGTCCTTGTGTTTAGACCTAATCACACAGTCATTGAGTATTTGCAGTATAGCTGGTCTAAACTGAGCTGTGTTGTAAGTATAAAATACACAATAGTCTTCTAAATACAAATCTGACCTGTTTCTTTTTACTTTTTAAAATGTGGCTACTAGAAAAATCTAAATTACAATGTAGCTCAAATTCTGCTTCTGTTAGCACTGATTGAGAGTGAATTTGACCCATATGTAAATTTATCATAAAAAGAATAAACCGAAGCACTTAAAATCTAGTATGTTTAATTTTAAATTGTACCAGCCTAGTTCAAGTGATTATTTCTTGCCATATTTCAGAAAGGGGTTTATATCACTCACAGAGAACAGTAGCATTGACTAAAAAAATCAGAGAAGATAACAGTAGAATAATTAAAACAGAAAAACCTCCAAAGCCAGAGGTAGACTCCAAATCTGTCTCTTAACACCCAAGCTGTTAAGACAAAGAGAAAATCAGTTAGAAAACCCTCACGTCTACAGGATGAGAACCTACCAGCTGTGCAGGAAGAATAGCTTTGCCTGGCCCTAGGCCACATTAGCTGTTTTCCTTTGGCCCTCATAAAGGGGACACTATGATGTAGTGGAGAGCATGCCTAGCAGTGTGCCATCGATGAAGACAATGGTTCAGGTGTTTCTTGTGTCTGCCAGTTATGAAGGCATGTTACCTGGTAGAACCTTGGGTCCTCACCCATCTGAAGATTGCCAACTGTGATGGAGATGTGATAATGACCCCACTCAGATTTCTTGTTTCAGAGACCTTGATTGAGGTACAGCCCCAGCTGTTGCACTCAGAATTCAACATGGCATCCCAAAAGTGCTTTCCACCAGTTGTTCCCAGCCAATGAGTACAATAAAGATAAGAGTGCAGACCTGCTCTTGACAGACAGATGTAGGATTCTCCACTGGGCTGGCTGAACTTTCTAACATTTGTGCTGAAGTCCAAGACTCTTCTTATTCAATCTTCTTCTCTCACCCCTTCACAGCCTCACTACCTCTTGCTCCTTCCTTTTTTCCTCACAGTGTTTTCCCCCAATAAATCTCTTGCACATCTAATTCTGTCTTAATGTCTACTTCTTAAAGGATCCACATTGATACATCTAATTTCAGATTGGTTAGTAAGAACACAATAGGTAGAAAGAAAATTCCAGTTAGAAAAAGACTTTGGTTATTATTACCAGGCTTTTCCTCCAAATCCTAATATTTCCTGGGGGACTGTATTGGACTGCAGGGAGGTAAGAGAACTTTTTCATAGACTACTTTAAGGCTTAAGGACTTTGTGTAAAAAGCCAGGCAGGCAGATTTTTCTTCTCCTGGTTATGAACCGTAAAATAAGCCCTTTGTACTTTGCATAGCTAGTGGTAAGAAAATGTGAATACATTGAAGGGGAAAAAGAATGTTTTGATAGTACTTAGAGCAGATATCCAAATCTCTAGGGAAGGCTCCTGCCCACTCCCAGTTAGGAAGACTCCAAGGTCTTTTAACTACATTACCAATCCTAAGTGACTAGCCAATGGTTCTCCTGGAAAGAACCAAATACAAAGAGAAATCCCAAAGAATATGTGTCCTGTTTAGACTCTGAGCATCATAACTAGTATTTCTAACATCTCAAAGATCAATGAGATTTAAACAGCTGAGAGTTTACATTTCTGAGTGGAACCATTTTGCCCAGTGGTAACAACTTGCATGGTACAAAGAAGCAGAACTCAGTTGCTGTCTGTCTAAAATACAGTGATTTTTATGTCCATTTCTATAGAGTTCTGTAGGATCAGAAGACCTATAAAAGAGATAGATAGCTGTAACCTTGGTCTGTTTCTTTTATTTTTTGTTTGTTTGTTTAAGATGGGTCAAGACTTACCTGCAAATCCTGAACTCAAGTGATCCTCCTGCTTCAGCCTCCCCAGCAGCTGGGACTACAGGTACACACCATGAAGTCTAGTTCTAGGTCTGTAATCTAATTCTACTGGAAGAAGAATAGGGATAGGTGGGTAAACAGAGCTCTGTGTTGTAGGCACTTAATTAAAAAATAGTGATAGTGATGATGATTGTCTTAATCTGTGATGCTATCTATTACAGAATACCTGAGACTGAATAATTCATAACAGAAACTGAAGTTTATTGGTTCACAGTTCTAGAGGCTGGAAGTCAAGGTCAAGGTACTGGCAAGTTAGACAATTCACATACTGACATGAAGCCTTGAATGCTACATCCCTTTCAAGGGGCAAAAACTTCATCCTCACATTGCAAAAGGCACAGGGGCAAAGAGGCAAAAGGGGGTCAAACTCACTCTCTTAAAACAGCATGAATTTATTCATAGTTCAGAGTCCTCATGACCTAAACACCTCCCATTAGGCTCTATATACCAACACTGGTGTATTAAGAAGTAAGTTTCCTACTTATGAACTTCTGGGGTCACTTTCAAATCATAGCAACAATCAACATGATGATTAGCATTTTACATGTGGAGTGCTGACAGGGTGTTAGGTTATACAGAAACAATGCATGCATGTGTTAGTCAGTATTTCCCCTTATTTTCAGGGAGCTTGTCTGTCTAAAAGGAAAATTAAACCAAGCCTGCATGTAATCATGAAGAAAATAGAATAAAAAAATTTCAGATGCCTGGGAGGTTGAAGACTTGATGGAATTGAATTAAGAAATCTGAGGAAATTTCCCTGAGGTAATAGTTCTGAATAATCAAAAAAAAATTTCTTTCTTTGTTTTCTTTTTGCTTTTTGGTGGTACTTGGGATTGAACTCAGCAACTTGTACTTGCTA